GGGCGCGGGGGTGTGTTCCCCCCCCCCCCCTGCCGCACCCTCGCTCACGCCTGCTGCTAATACCCGTGATTCACCCTGAGTGTGGGGCTCGCCGGCCTGGTTGGGGGGCTTGGGGTTGGGGGTAGGGGCATGGCTTGGATGTGGTCCTGTTGTCGTTCAGCTGCTGCTCTTGGTCAGCGCCATGGGGCACGCTATGGGGTAAGAGCACTATCACGAGCACCAAGGCACCTATAGCAGGGGCTGGATGTCCCCTGTGCAGGCACTTTTGGGTGTGTGGCACATCACACCAGGAAACCCTGCCTCTAGCATGACATGGAAGGGGGCAGCCATGTGGTGTGTCCCCCATCTGGCTCCCCTACACACGCACATGCAAATGAAGCTTGAGAATGGTATGTTCCAGTGATCACACATGCCCCCTGTGAGTTAAGAGCATTTCTGCCTGTCGACACCTTTGCTACGTGAAGCATGGGAATGGAGCAGTCCAGCGCAGCCGTGCCCCTATGAGACCCAGGAGTGGAACATTCTGGTGGGTTTAAACCCTCCCCCCCCCCAGGATAAAGTATGGGAGTGGAATGTTCTCGCACTGCTCCTCCCCCATGAAACATGGAGTGGAACATTCCAGCAGTTCCTCATGTGAAGTCTGAAGCACTGCCCCCCATCCCTTATGTGAAGGTTGGGAATGGAATGTTCCAGAGTTGTCCTCCCCCCATGAAACTTGGAAGTGGAACATTCTAGCGGTGCTCCAAACATGGGACTAGAATGCTCTCTCCCCCATGAAACTTGGGAATGGAATGTTCTAGCGGTTCTTCATGACGGGGAATGGAATGTTCCAATGCTTCCCTCCTCCCCTGATGAAACTTGGGAATGGAATGTTCTAGCGGTTCTTCATGACGGGGAATGGAATGTTCCAATGCTTCCCTCCTCCCCTGATGAAACTTGGGAATGGAATGTTCTAGCGGTTCTTCATGACGGGGAATGGAATGTTCCAATGCTTCCCTCCTCCCCTGATGAAACTTGGGAATGGAATGTTCTAGCGGTTCTTCATGACGGGGAATGGAATGTTCCAATGCTTCCCTCCTCCCCTGATGAAACTTGGGAATGGAATGTTCTAGCGGTTCTTCATGACGGGGAATGGAATGTTCCAATGCTTCCCTCCTCCCCTGATGAAACTTGGGAATGGAATGTTCTAGCGGTTCTTCATGACGGGGAATGGAATGTTCCAATGCTTCCCTCCTCCCCTGATGAAACTTGGGAATGGAATGTTCTAGCGGTTCTTCATGATGGGAATAGAATGTTCCAATGCTCTTCCCTCCCCCCCCCATGAAACTTGGGAATGGAATGTTCTAGCGGTTCTCCAAGATGGGAATGGAATGTGACAATGCTCTCCCCCCCCCCATGTAAAGCATGGAAGTGGAACCTTCCAGTGCACACCCCTTCTTCCCCCATCCCTCCCTCCCCCCAGTAGATGCCTTCTGCACACAGCACCAAGTTCCAGAGCCCCCCTCCCCTACCTGTCCTCATTTCCCACCCACCGCCCCGGCTGCAGACCCTTTCCTGCTGCCGCTGCGTGTCGTGACCTGTCAATAACACGCATGCCTTGTTTATCTTCTCTCGCCTGCCCCCTCCCCGCCCCATTCATGGTGATCACTGGACATAGCCAAGCAGAAGCAGAAATCGGTGAGTAAAAGGGCTTTACTTGACCTGCCTGTTACATGGGGGGTGGGTTTGGACCCCTGTAAGGAGCCTTCCCCACCTGGTTTCTCCTCCCCAGCGGTGATGGGCTGGGTCAGTGCTCCACGGGGAGCCACCAGCATGGGTGTCCCCAGGCCACCAGCTTCCCTCCCCGGGCTGGGCCATTACCGCACCAGGGCAGAACCTTCCAGCAGGGCCACCTGGCTACCAGCCAAGGGGGCAGCAGCGGGAGCTGGGTAGCTTGAGCCAGCGGTACCCCCACCCTGCAAGGCGCTTCCATTCTGGACACGAGCGAGACCCCCTGGTGCCAGTGACTCCCCCCTCCCCCGGGCACACATCACACCTTGTCTTTTGCCCCTTCTGGCAGGCGGAGCACGTGCCGCCCTACGACGTGGTGCCCTCCATGCGGCCGATCATCCTCGTGGGACCCTCCTTGAAGGGGTACGAGGTGAGGAGCCTGGGGCGGCACAGGGGCGGGGCACATGCTGCC